TTTGATTTTCTTCTGATATGTTTTGTGTGCTTCTATCTGAATCTGGATGTTATCTTAATGACAATGATCTTTTTGCTTATCTGAATATGTGTTTCTTCTGCATCTTTACTGTCTTTTAAAATTCTTTTTGATTATGACAAAAAGGGGGAGAAACAAAATAGAATCTGATTGTTCAAATCTATAAGCAATTATCTGAACTAAGTCAGACATGTTACTAACATTCTTTGAATCTAACCAGACTCTGACAAATTTATCTAACCAGAATCTGACAAAATTCATTGAAGTTTTTCCTGAGATCTATCTTTTCAGAACCTGATCAAAAATAGCTAAATCTGAGTAGACCAGACTCTGATATCTAACCTTGAGTACTATGATCTGAAAGATAACTCAAGACAGGATATGGCAAGATAAACAACCAAGTGTTCTGAAGTTGTTCATCTGTCATCAAGCTTTAATATGACATCAAGCTTTGGCATCAAGCTTTAATATGGCATCAAGCTTTGACTCTAGAAGTCAAACATATGTCAACCAGGATTTGTCAACCAGGCTTCAATCAGGATGTTAATCAGGCTCTGAACCCGAAATGCAATCAGGCTCTGAATCTGAAATGTAATCAGGCTCTGAATCTGAAATGTACTCAACCAGAAAGGGAAGTATCTAATTCCATTAGAGTATTCATTTCAGGGGGAGATTGTAAATCTCAGGGGGAGTAATTTTAATTCATTTTTTGTTGAACAAATTGCTCATGTTTTGTCATCATCAAAAAGGGGGAGATTGTAAGAGCACAGATTGTGTCTCAGTAATATCTCTATGTTTTGATGATAACATTAATGATAATTTGTATACAAGAATTATACTCTCTAAATTTGTTCTAAACTGTTTTCTACAGGCACAAAAGATTTTAATCTTAAAGAGCAAATTTGATATGAACAATGAATTCTGAATGGCTCAAGAACATCTGAAGATTAGAAGAATCTGAAGTATAAGAGCTTAGTCATCAAGATTCTGAAGATACAACACGCTGCATGTTTTATCAAGAATCTGAATGAAAGAAGACTCTGAGTGAAGAGACTCTGAGTGAGAAGACTCTGATCTGAGTGAAGACTCTGATCTAAGAAGCATGATACGCTTCAAGCACACAGCTGCATCAGACTCTGATTCATCAACATCTGAAGAACATCTTAGGCTCTGAAGTTTCCAGAAGGTTCTGAAGACTGAAGACTCTGATGTTGATTGTTGATCTGAACTATCTGAAGAATTATTTGAAGAAGATTATTTTAATATATCCGTTGGAATATGCCAGCAAATCTTTCCTTAATTGGGATAGACAAAATTCTCTGCAAGAATATTATTCCTCTGGTACATTCCATATATGGTATAATCACAGCTCAGCAGACAATTGCTACACCCACTATTTGTGCGCCGTCTCTCTGCTGTAATAGTACAAAGGACAGTACTATTTTGATATTGGAAATATCCTCCCCAACGGTAAAATATTCTATCCAATATTCAAGTGGCTATATAAAGGACATCATAGCTCATTCTTCAAGTGCCGAATTAAGACGAAATTGACGAACTTATTGCAAGAACTCTCTCACGCTAAAGCTCTCATATTCTTCACTGTTCATACATTGTTCTAAACTTAGAGAAATAACACAGTTGTGTTTATAGCTTTCTTAGAAGCAATTTCTTACTCTTTCATTGTATTACATTAATTTGTAAAGGAAGTTTTCCTTAAGAGGATCTAGGTTAGATCAGTAGCTCTTAAGAAGACTAAGAACAGTTGTTCTTAGGTGTGCTATTTGTAATCAGTTGATTTGAATAGTGGATTAAGTCCTTGTTGAGAAAGGCAAATCACTCTTGAAAAGGGTGGACTGGAGTAGTTGAGTTCAACGAACCAGGATAAAAATACTTGTGTTTTATCTTTGATTATTTTCTGTCATACTTATTCAACCCCCCCTTCTAAGTATTTTCTCACCTTCAAAAAGGTGGTAGAGTTGACAAAGGAATGAGAAAATGAGTTTTCACATGCATGAGGATATCCCTTGCGCCTGACGTATTTTGAGGATTGAGCGTCAAGCTAGTGACGTAAAAGAACCTTTGGATGGGAGACAACCCATCAATTTTTAATAAGTTTTTTTTAGTTTTGTTTTGTAGCATTTTACTTTATTTTATTTCAAAACCAACCATAAGAAGAATTAGCTACAAAAGAAGAACTTGGTGACGAAAATCCTATGTTCTCAATAGACTTACTGTGGCTTTTTTTTCTCCAGATTTACAAAGTTAGATATAACATTGAACACATGATCTAAGAAAAGAAAAAAAAAGAAGAAGAAGGAAGTGACTTGATCATAAGGAAAGCAACCGAGGACTTGAAGGTAATGGAAGTGAAAAAAATTGATTGACTTGTACTCAACTTGCAGATACCTCATTTGGTAAGGCATGGGCCTAAATACTTCCATTGTGCACTTTTTATTTCTTATAGTGTATCCATGCATTATTCTCTTAGATTGATCAATAAACACTGAGGCATTTTTTATATAACTCTGAGACTTTGTAAACCACTTTTTATTATTAAGACTATCATTTGCTAAATATTTTGAGTGTAAGCCTTTCTTTTGGTGACGTACCCTTAAACGATTAGACACATTACTTGAAATATCCTTTTGATTCAAACCTTTCTTTAGAATTAGGTATAAGTTTTTTTTCTTTAAGTGTATGAAAAAGTTTAAGTATGAGGTTGCTCTTGGAAGTGAGCAACACTTTAAGTTTAAGGTGGGGGTACTAAAGACTTTGATTCATAATTTAAAAATTTTCCCAAAAAAAAGTGAAAAAAACACTTATTCAAAAAATATGATGACTAAATGACAAAAAAAAAGAAAAAAAATGATATTGTATGAAGGATCACAAATCTCTAGTACCAACGAAAAGGGTATGATGAATGAGGGAGAACTAAGAACCTAACTCTAAAGGTTTAACCCTACTTTCCTAAATATATCCTACCCTGGCATAAGTCAAGTTACAACGGAAAAAGTCCTCTAAATGTGTGTGTTGAGATTTCCATGATTTACTCTATTAAAATGTAATCAAGCTAAGTTTAATTGATTTTGCATGTTGATTGAGTGTTGACCCTATCAATTGAGTGAGTTAAGCAAGCCAAGAGATTGGTTGAGTACTAGTCATGGTTAAGGACGTTTTTCGAAACTTTCGAATGGAAATTGGAATGCGGAATAATGACCAGGTAACTATAAAAATATGGTGATGTTCAATGTTATTGTGCAACTTGTTTTTTTTTTGTTGAAATGTACAGTTGTAGGTGAGTTGCTTGAGGACAAGCAATGATTCAAGTTTGGGGTTGTGATGGTAATCAGTCATTATATAAAATCAGTCGAAGAATAGAGGAAAAACGAGTAAAAGGGAAGCTAAAATGATAAAGAATGCCCCAAGAATGAGTGAAAAAGAGCCAAGTATGAAGGAATGAGACTTAGTAGATATTTTGGTGAAAAAGGGTGAAATAACACGCAACTACTAGAATAATCACACGCAACATCATGTGTTATCGCGTGTGTGATAATGCTACAAAGGGACCATCGCGCGCGCGATGCTTGTGTAGTGCGCGCGATGCCAACTTTTTCTGTAATTTTTCTGACGCGTTCTGACAACTTTAAAATGGGATTTTATGCACTTTTACAAGGTTTACGAAATTTGGTACTAGGAGCACGATTTTACAACATAAGAAGGTGATTTTGAGAGCATTGAAAGTCGTTGGAGGCCAATCCTTCTAGGAATTTCACATGTTATTCATCTTATATCAATTGGTATTGTAATTTTAACGATGTGTAGCTAAATTATCATAGATTAGGTTGTGTGTGATGAACTTTATTCAACCTTGTTGGCATTATATGATGGTTTAACTTTGTATGAACCTTATCACTTATAATTTTATTCAATTGTTCCTTTGCTTAATGCGTATTATTCGAGATACTATGTTAATATGTTGCTAGATGCATAAGGATTCCTGATCTGTAGCCTATGTATTAGACCTAGGACAATTGTTCTATTTAAGCCGGTTGAACATGGATAGGATACCTCGAGTAGTGACACAGAAAACTAACAGTCTATTCATTGCCTAACACTGCTTACACTAGTGGATTAGGGATAGAAAGCTTCTAGTAGTTGTTAGTAAGTTATTTCGTGGGGGACTAGCTATAACAGTTTTATTAGTTCGCCGTAAAATTGTAAGTATAAGACAATTCATACAAGGCATAATACATCAACAAGAGGGGATAAAAAGATTCTAAAACACAACCTAACCGCTTTCATGACCTCGTTTTCTCTTAAAATTACCTTTTTGCACTAAAACTTACAAAACGCCTCCTTTTTTACTTCTTTTAGTTAATATTATACAAATTATTGTTTTGTTCGAACACATTTTCAATAAATTTGATATTTTATTATTGAGACATTACCGATACATTTATCAAAAAAAAAAATCATTAAAGTGTTGGTGCAGTTATGGAAAATTGTTGATCGTAACAAGCAACACATATATCCCTTTACTTGTGTAGATTGACCATATAATTTTTTTTTAATTCAATTCTTTAACCGTAATATTTTGTAATAAATTTTTTTCTTTCTAATATGTTACGTGTATAGAATTTTATATTGTTATCATTATAATAAAAAAAATGTTGCGTTCTCATTTGCAAAGAGCAAATTTTCTGACACTGAGATTCTCCTCTCACCTATTTCTTCGTATTTGTTTCTTTCCATTTCCACTGTTCTCTCCGTGACTTGATACCTCCGTCTTTTTAACAAACGCGTTGACCTCTTTCTTGGGTTTCGTTTCTCCAATCCAGAGTTTTGATCTTTCACAAAATTCTAAAGTTGAAACAAATTTTTAGTCAAATGGGTCTAATGGGTTTCTTACAAATCTTTAGATTCCTCTGAATTCATCTTGATTCAATTTTCCTTCTGGTTTTCGTCGTTTTTCTGTGTTTATGTGTATGTGGTTGTTGAATTTGATGGATAACACGGATTCAAAGGTTGTTAAAGATGCTAAGAGTTACATGGTGGATAAACCTGTTGTGGTGAGTTGTGTTATGGATGGTGAAAAAGTTGAAGATCATGTGAATAGTGAAGATGATAGTGATTCTCATTCTTTGTTGCCTCCTAGGAGAGGTGGAATGTCACGGAACTCTGATAAGACAAGAAGGAAAGTTCAGTGGAATGATAAGAATGGTAATAAGCTTGCTGAGGTGTTGGAATATGAACCAAGGTAACTATTGTTGTTATACGTTTTTGGTTTGTTATGTATGATGATAATCTGAAATAGTGAATTCTTGTGTTTTGCATTCATTGATTTGGTTTTCCTTTTATAATAACTTGTTTCAATGAACACTTGGTTACTTTTTGTAACTTTTATGATTTACTAATTCATGCGGTTGTGATGTTGCAATTGCGGTTGGCCGTTGCATTGCAGCGTGAATTTTAATTGGGAGGTGTTTGAAATATCCAGTTAAAAAATGATGTTAAGATTTTTTTTAGATAGGAAGTAAATTGAGATTCTGGGTTCTGAAATTTTAAGTTTTGATTAGAACACTTAAGAAACATGTTCGAAATTGTCGGATGTGATTTTCAATGGCGGTCGGATGTATGGTTTTAATTCACACCGGAATTGTGGTCTAATGCGGTTGCGGAGGCTACTGTATCAGCAATACTGCGGTCGCAATTACGGCTGTGGACTGCAATTTAAAACCATGGTTGTGATGTAGTTGCAGAGACCTCAAAATCTGTTATATTGTGGCTGCAACCGAAATTTAAAACCATGTTTATGCTAAGGTGTTACGTTTTGGACAAAAAGAAATAAGTTGATGAAATCTTGGGAAACTTTGATTTATGTTCATTAGGTGTGAACTAAAATGTATTCATGATGATATCAGGATCAGAATAACATAATTTAGCTTTAAAGTCTATATCTGAAAAGCCAAGTTGAAGTAGAAATAAGGAACTAATAGAGCTTAGGTCATTCTCATGTATTATGTTAATATTTACATGGCATTTGTAGATTGTTTATCAGTTAACACTTGGTCTTAATTTTATATATTTTCCGTCCTTTTTTCTTCTTCTCTTTTAACTGTTTTCTCATTTGACTTTTTGATTTTTCGGTCTATGCTGAAAATTTCCAATAAACTAAATGGGATGAGAAAACTTCTGCTTTTCTTTTCTTTTTTGTAAAATAGTTTCAACTTCTAGTTTGTTTGTTTAGATTTGGATTGACTTATTCGAATTTATATGCAGACATAACTACTTGTGACACTAGAAAAGCTCGTGGAAACGTCTTATGATGTGTCCATAAGCCCTCTAGAGTAACTTTTGAAAACAATAGCTTATATAAAAACAACCTGACTTTATTTCATCCGTTGTTATAGAATTAGCTTATACTTAAGCACTTATATGCTATAAACGCTTATGCATTATTGATTGAGATAATCTCATAATTTTCTCACATTTGGTCTCCCAAATGTGTTTGCAGTGATGTCAGCGACTCAGAAGATGACGGAGATTCAGATTCTTGTATCTGTACAATAATGTAGAAATCATCTATATATTAGTTGTCTCAAACTCTCTGCATTATTCAGGGTCATAATTGTAGCTTGCCAACCCTGAATTTGACCAGTTTAGAGACAAAATATGTTAGATTTTTGTTCTGAGGTGAGGCCCCATAGTCAAATAACCACGACAGGTGGCTTCTAATGTTTACCGATACATGGATTCAATTCATCTTGCTGAATTTCGAGATGATTTCTTACACGGGCTTAGGGATGAATCTTCGGACATAGGTTGAAACATGTGTTACTTTCAGCAATATGATTTGGACAGTAATGATATAGCCTTCATGCTTCGCCACATCTACTGATGCTGTAAAAGTCGTGCATTTAACTGATTAGATCATTATCTTTCTTATCAAAGAGGAGACAACTCCTTTATTTCATTTTGATAACTCGTTCAGTGGAACAAATTTTCATAATTCAAGTTTTTGCGGTTAGAAGAGCCTGCAAGACTCAAACATAGTATGCGCGGAGAATATTACGGATTTGAACCTGATCCTTCATTGTGCTCTTGATTCTCGATGTTTGTATTCATTTCTACCTTTTACCTGAATCTACTTTTCATGTCAGACACATGAGTTTTGTACACAATGTCTAGGAATGAGTCTATTCGATGTATTTACCTTGACAATATCTTTGTAAATTTTGTAATAAATATGAATGAATTACGAAAACTTGTCATGAGGTACATTAAGTCAATAAAATTTAGTGAAACTGAAAATTCTATTGATATTTTATCTGTATATCATACTTTAAAGTTTTGGATGGTGATGTGGTGTCAGTAATCTTGTTAGTCCTGATTATTAGTCTATTGTTGCTATTGGTGTTCTTTTGAACGTCCCAACAATGCCTAATAGATGAAAAGCCTTGTTCCTTTAAGGAGAATATAATTATTTTTACGACAAAAAAAAATGTTAAGAGTTGCTCAAGTAATTCCAACTGGCTCGTACCAACTTGCTGAAGGAATACACAACAAGAGAATCAAGTTTCATGCATGTTCCTCTATAGTGGTGTCAACTATCAACAACAGATGGTGTGGATTGTATTATGTTGTCATATGTGAGTTATGTTGTGTGGGCATTTGAATTTTATTCTGGTGTGGAACAAGGAGATAGATGATTATTGGTCAGTAGTTTTCGATGTTTATTGAGATTTAACCTAGTGCCAGTTGAAATTAGCAGGAATATAATGCAATGAAGAAATCAAAGTTCCGTAGTTCATCGAACTAAGGATAGGTCAAAAGAAGAAAAAATAGGTGATTGACACAAGAAAGAAAGAGTTGATTGAATTGCAAGGAACTTGCTTGATTTGAAAAAGTGTTGTGAATCGAGGAAAGATCTATCTAAGCACGAGACTAACAAGATAGACATGAAAAGAAGAGAGGGTTGACCAAAGCATGAGACTAACATGACAATCAGGAGAGAGACAAGAGTTTGTCAAAACATGAGACTAACATGACAAATATGAAAGGAAAGAGACTTGCCAAAGTATGAGACTAACATGGCAGACTCACGGGAGAAGAAAGAGGTTTGCCAACACATGCGACTAACATGGCAAACGTTTGTGTCTGTCTAAGAAAGAGACTAACAAGACATATTTGGGAAGAGCAATGGTTTGCCAAAACATGAGACTAACATGGCAAAAGCTTACCAAAGCAATGAGAATAACATGGTAAGTTATGAAAGAGTATGCCAAAACAATGAGACTAACATGACAAGAGCTTATCAAAGCAAAAGAATAACATGGTAAGTTATGAAAGAGTTTGTCAAAGCAATGAGACTAACATAGAAAGAGATTACCAAAGCATGGAACTAACATGCTAAGTTATGAAAGAGTTTTCCAAAGCAATGAGATTAACATGGCAAGAGCTTACCAAGGCATATAGGACTAACATGATAAGTTACGAAAGACTTTGCCAAAGCAATGAGACTTACATGGAAAGTTATGAAAGAGTATGCCAAAGCAATGTGACTAACATGGCAAGAGCTTACCAAAGCAATGGACTAACATGATAAGTTATGAAAGAGTTTGGCAAAGCAATGAGACTAACATGAAAAGAGATTACCAAAGCATGGGACTAACATGGTAAGTTATGAAAGAGTTTGCCAAAGCAATGAGACTAACATGGCAAGATCTTACCGAAGCATGTGACTAACATGGCATGTTATGAAAGAGTTTGCTAAAGCAATGAGACTAACACGGAAAGTTATGAAAGAGTTTGTCAAAGCAATGAAACTAACATGGTGAGTTATGAAAGAGTGTGCCAAAGCAATGAGACTAACATGACAAGAGTTTACCAAAGCAAAGGACTAACATGGTAAGTTATGAAAGAGTTTGCCAAAACAATGAGACTAACATGGCAAACAGGGGGCATTGATTCACATGTGGGTGCTTGACCATGAGGTGCTCAATCCAAAGGAATATGGACGCCAAAGAAGGTTGTTTGATCCAAAAAGGAGAGAGCGCAATGTTGTAATGTTGGTGTGTTGATTGTGGAATGCAACAAAGTCTAAGAGTATAGGTGAATACTCTAGGCACTGAGTCATTCGTCCCATGCCCAAAGATATTTAGAATGGGGGTAGGAATTCTCCAGCCTCATTTCTTTTCTACCACTTAAGGCTTGTGACGTGCAACTTGAACTGTAACTGACGAGTGATGAACAATGCTCCAACTTGCATGTGCCTTGTGTCTTTAAGGTAATGAAGTCTGGAATTTGATTGTGTCTTGAGAGTAGGTGTGAAGTTGCATTTGAGATGAAGGAGATGAATATGACTTGAGGTGTAAATGGTTGTGAAGCAAGTAGAGAGACTATCTTGTCAAGTCATCAGAATCACTTGATTGGATAAGGGGAAGTTAAGCAGTGAATAGACTAGTTAATATAATAGAATTTTAATTAACTTAGCCAAAGGGAATCTCAATAAGTTGAATCAAGAGAATAAAATTATAATCTCAACTCCTAAATGGATCATGCATTTGTTAATCATTAGAAGCTAACTACCAAGTGTAGCGGAAAAATTTGAGATTAAGCTATTGATTAACTTAACTCATAAAACAAGATTCGCCACTGTACTTTTATTTTTCCAAAGGAAAGGGAAAAGAGCAAACAAAACCTAAAGAAGTTTTAAAACAAAATCTAATAAAAACGGAGATAAGGGTAAGGGGGTTGGTTACGCAAAAGGAAGGTGTTAGCATCCAAAACGTCTATAGTACTCTATAGGAACTTCTTTGAAAATCTAGCGTTTGGCTTAAAAACGCGTTGTTTGCAAAAGATTGATGGGGTGAGAAGAGAAAATTTTTTTTATAATTTTGTGTTTGACAATACTTGCTGAGCCTCGTGCCTACATACCCACAAAGTGGAATGGAGGATCAAAACCTCATAGTTCGTGGTACAAATAACAAAATGGTTTGTTTTGATTCATTTTAAATGAGAAGACAATTTTTCGTTTTAAGGAGAAAACTTCAACTAATCACTCACAGGTATGTGAAAATGGACCTTTACATCACCATGAGAAGGACTCCAACTTGGATAAAATCAATAAGTATGCCACTAACTCTCTAAGGTGGAAAAGAATCAACTTATTTCAAACAATACTATGGGGCTAAAAGGATCACCTCTCAATTATGAAAATGACTAATGTCTAAATTTTATGAAAAAGTTAAAAGGAAAAGTGCAAAAAGGCACAAAATGATTTGAATGAATTAAGTATTATTTAAGTATTTTGAAAATGGTCTAAGTATGCTTAAGATTGATCAGCATCTATTAAGAAAATGAGTTTGAAAATTCACTTGAAAAATTCAAGGTTTATTAAGAAATGGTTCTAGTTTGAAAAAAAGAAGGTTTTGAAAAAGGGAGAAGATTTTGAAAATTTAAGACGGGGAAGAGATGAAAAGGCTATCCTAATGCATAAATAAAAGCTAAGGAAGGAAAGATCTAACCAAGATACAAGCCTTTGACGCAAGCCAAAACTCTCATTCTTTGGACTCAAGCAACAAGATAAGCAATAAGCTAAGAAATAACCAAGCAGAGAGATAACCAAGCATCCAAGCAAAGTCTTCAAGGGACCAGTTAGGTCATTAATGTGAAGCAAAGATCCATCTTCCACATGTTTGTGGTGGTTTAAGTTGAGTATTCTTCTTAATATGACAATTTGTCTCTTCTCCTAAAACCAATCAACAACTTTTGTTCACCCGTAGTGAGGTGAACTACGAATGCTATAATTTCATCCTAGTCAGGATACATAGGCACGAGATGCGATGTCTTGGCGAGCATACTTAGGAATAGAACCTTAGGTCTCCTTTTTTCTTTTCACCTTTAGCAAATAGATAACAAATGACACATTTAACAAGAGGTTCATGTAGAGTACTACAGATACTTAGGATGCTAGCACCTTCCCTAGGTATAACCAACCCCCGAATCTTAGATTCTCTTTTACTTTGTTTTTGCATTGCATACTATTGTTTTTATTCGTTCTTTTTCCCTTCCCTTGGATAAATTAAAGATCAGTGGTTAATTATGATTTGTGAAGCCTAGCTAACTCAATAGCTATGGTCTCTGATTCTCACCGTGACATAAAAGGCGACTAGGAACTTCTATTTTTCCCTAAGAGGATTACACCTATCTTATTTTATATGTGTTATTTGTTGTATGTTTGTATACTTGTATATTTGTATATATCTGTCTGGTTGGGTTTTTTGTTTGACAGGGTTGTCACATAGTGTTGTGAGATAAGTCCTAACCCGGACTTGAGTGCACCTATGACAGGAAGGTGGTATATTCAAGGAGGCTTATAGGGAGTTGATTCCCAACCAAGCTAACTTGAGAAATCACCACTCAGTTGAGGCCCTCTTGGGAGTAGTATTTATTGAACGAGTAGTTGTGAAAACATTACTACTTTCGATCTAAGAGCCTGTGACATTAAGGACCTTTAATTACCTTCAACCCCACTTTTTCCTTATTAGGATGTAGTGTGGTGACTATGAGAGAG